TTGTCACCTCTTCCCTGTGGCCATCCAACAAATCTTTCTCCCCCTGCTCACTCAGATCCAAGCCCAGTGACTTCAGCAAAGACTCACTCGGAGCTTTCTTTCATAGTGGCTTAATTTATATAGAAAATTATATGAAATAAACAAAAGACACACACAAAAGTATTTTAAAATTAAATCGTTCGAACATCCCAGGGTAGATGCTCACTTAGCGAGAGGCAAAGGAAGACTGAGTCATCCACATATTTGATGCTTTTTATGGGAGCTTGGCTTGAAGAATTCCTGTGACAGCAAGCGAACAGGAATGTAGACGTTCGTAACGGACGCATTTTCTTGCTCGATAACTGAGGTGATGTACAATTTTCCAGATATATTTACCCCGAAAAAGGTAAATGATAACCGAATCGTAGGGTAACAGAAGTGCTCGATTATCGAGATTGCATTGTATATCAACGAAGTCGTCATTTACTAGAGAAGGGATATTTAAATACTCGTTGGAGTGTTTTACAATGAATGTCATTTGGAGCACTGAATCACTTTACAACCCAAAATTCGTGAAGAAGCTATTGAAGAGGAAAACGACCGGGAAATACTTGCAACAAGTTATACCAAAGTTTGGTACTTTATTTCTTTTACAGTAATGTTCACCGTGTAAAAGGCCATGGGGGTCACTCTGGGTTACTTTAAATGGTAGTTTATCTCTATATTTCTGACATTAGGAATTATGTACCCTATGTACATTATTCGGGCTATTGTCCTCATCTTTGTCACCATATTTATTACAACGTTTCGGCCGTTGTACGCTCCGGCCTTCTTCAGGCGGTTGGAATGTCAAACTAAACCCTTTATTTCGCTCACTGGGGTAGAATGTTATAGTTCCACGTACAGTGTTTTAATGGATCTCAGTTATCAGTTATCTCCTGTTAATCCCCCTCTCCACGTTCTCCACGATCTTAACCGGTTATTGAACTCACATTTTTGGGGTCCTGTCACTGGATCTAACGCCTTTATCCACTGTGCCATGTGTCCTTGAGGACGAAACGTTGTAATGAATATGGCGACAAAGATGAGGACAAAAGTCCGAATAATCTAAATAAGTGGTACTTTATATTGATAATACGATAACGGTTAACTCTAGACATGGACAGGTTAGGACTGTAGTTATCGAGGAAACATATTTTTGTGAGTCTGTTCCACAGAACAGCTGTTTGCGTGAAGAAACCGCTTGAGTGGAACTTACTTTTCGCCGATGGAAAACGACGGAAAATGGTTCGTTTTCTACTATCTGAGCGATCCTAGTTGTGCAGGAAAAACCTGACAGAAACAAAGAGTGTAGTTCGTCTGAGCACTTTCCATGGTAGTAGTTCCGCCTGTAATAGAGAGGTTGAATTGTGGAAAATAATTATTCTTCAGCAAGGACTCCGAGACGCTTTTGAATTGCCAAGACTTGAAAGTGAGGCCTGGGCATTTCCCGCCCAAATATGGCAACTGTACTCCATTTTCTGAAAGATCTAGCTCTTATAAATTTAGAAGATAGCATGAGTAGTCAGGTACTTTCTGGAGCTCTACAGCGAGGCGATCATTTTACCTGCATCTTTAGATTGGTGTAATCAAATAGAGATTAAATATTCCTCCAACAAGTGTCTTGTATTTTACTTTAAACATTTAAATCCTGTTCATGTCTCTCTACTTAGTAATTTTTTCTCCCTCACTAACCCCTTACATCTTGTAGTGAACAAAAGAATACCTAGATTTAAAATTCAAATGCCAAGCACTGAATCATTGATTTTGTTAGAAATTCAAAAAACTCGAATTTACCCACTTTGCTTAACACACACGCAAAAGAGAATCCAAAACAAAACTCGTGAAATTTCACACCTTGATGCGAAATGTTTTTCGGCCAATAGAAACCTAGGAAACATTTAAAAACAAAATTCAAATAATTTTCAATTATCAGAAACAAATTCTTTTACGGGACTTTACGCAAGCTGACGCGAAGTTTATTCGTCGTCCAATGAAAAAGCCTGAATCAGATCCGAGAGGGAATTCCCAAATGACCTTTTAAAGCCCCAGAAACAAAATAAAAGGCGGGCAAGTTAACCTGTCACCAGAGAGAAGGAGACGAGCGTATTAACACGTCCCTTGACAAACGTCAAGCGATCGTAATTATTATCTTTACCTTTCTCCCTCACCTCTTTTATACTTGATAAACGAACAGAACATTTTAAGACTGAGCGATTACTTCAAAGATATTCCTACCCTACGATAATGCCCATACATACATCTACACATACGTTCCTGCCTACGTACACATAAACTCATACTACTACGAATATTTTGACACCTTGTATCAATCAAAATATGTTAATTTTATTTGTAGAGACCTTAATTTATTTATATGTATATAAATTTGTTATTTCACTTTACAGTTTGATTTTCTTGTTTTATACCCCTCTTATCGTGGGCTAACTAACAAGGCCAAATCAAACTAATCTGTTTCAACACTCATACACTTCACTATAACTGATAACCCACTATAATCTTATCGGATTTATTGCCTTGCTTTGGGTGAGATGATTTAAAAACTTTTATTGCGTTATTTTATATCATATATCAATGTTTTTAAGCAGACCCCGCTGTCTATGTGTGATTTCTTCTGTAATTATCCTACGTATTTTCTTCAGGAACACCCGGATGATTCGAAGGGATAATTAAACTGAAATAACAATGAATTATTCCGAAATAATATGTATACGATTATACAAAAATAAATTTACCATTCCTTTCAAAAAAATCATTATAAAAGCACGGTTTAAATAGAGAAAATAACACTTTACTATTATCCATTTGCTAAAAGGCTCAAGAGACACTTAAGCTAGACGGTCACTGAATAAACTACGCGACCTGAATATAATACTTGAAACAAGGAAGTGAGATTCATGGAGCAAAATGAAACAATTGTTCCTTCATTTGAAGAGGGTCATTTTAGGGTTTCTGGAAATATTCAAATTAGAATCTGTTCCAAAAAGCTGTGGTTGTTGGAAAAAATATCTCAGATTGAAACTTCTTCAATACAAATGGTATAAAGATGGTGGTACTAAAGAATGTAGTCCGTGCGAACATTTATAATGGAAATAGCGATGGAGTAGGGAGATGGTTACAACGTTGTATCTTTGGGAATGAGGTTGCCGGAAAGGGGGATATATCACCTCCTCAAAATAATCCCGCATCATCGAACTTGAACTCTATGGAAAGTGTAGGATTTAGAAATCCGAGTCGAAATATAACAGACAGATTTTTGCATACACAGTTCTTTGCATTAATGACAGCAAGTCTTAAATTCTTTCTGAAGTGGTACTGTGATTTGACCATTTTTCGAGTACCTTTGGCGTTGGATTTTAGACATGGGTTCTACCTTGATGTCTGGAGTGAACTAGAATCTTAATAGATGTTTGAAAAGCCTTAAGCATAAAATTTCTTTTGAGTATCCTTCATACTACTTCAGATATAATAAGACGATAGGGATAAACTGTCGTATGTAATAAGGAACGAAACGATTAACACTTCCGATGCTGTTGACAGTCTTATATTTCTACACAAAATAAGGTTGTCTGTTGTCAACATAAATTCACGCGTTCGAGCCACCGTGAAACGCCGTATTTTATATTTGTGTTGTAAACACGCAGACACTTTTTAATTATTTCACCCAAACCAGCGCAAAAAAAAAAAAACATTAAGAGGAGAGAACAATAAAAGAACAGGAATTAAGAGGATAGCGTTTAACAACTCGTATTACATTGATATTTTTTTTAAAGATTAAAGTTGACTTTTATCATAGGAACTAAGGTTACTTCTAGTCATTTAAATTATAAACCTAGCAGAAAATATAGTCAGTCAATCAGTTATATGCTATGAGTGATACACGCTTAGGCGATCATGTATCTTTCAATACGTGACTGACGAGGAATATTTTTCCTGGAGTACGTTGCCATTTCTTTGCGGTGGACCACTTGCCATCGAAGGCTATAGAAGCCGGTTTGTCTTGCTATTTATCCATAGCTGGAGGAGAAGCGGGTTCATAACTTTCTCAAGGGTCAGTCTGTCAGTTATGTACCATGTGTGATACATGCTTACGCGATCATGTTTCTTTCGATACATGACTGACGAGGCAGATTTTTTTTCATGCATTAGGTTGTAATTTCTTTCTGTGGTAGACCAGTAGCCTCCAAAGGCTATAGAACCCGATCTGTCCTGCTATTTATCCATAGCAAGACTTTTCATACCTTTCGATACACGATACATGATTGACGAGGAAGATTTTTTTTTAGGTTGCCATTTCTTCTCTGCGGTAGACCAGTTGCCATCCATGGCTATAGAACACGATCTCTCTTGCTATTTACCCATACCTGCGGTGGGAGAATTCATACCTTTCCCCAGAGTTAGTCAGTCAGTTATGTGCTATGCGTTATACATACTTAGGCGATCATCTATCTTTCGATACATGACTGACGAGGCAGATTTTTTCCCGCAATAGGTTGACATTTCTTTCTGCGGTAGACCAGTAGCCATCCAAGGCTATAGAACCCGTTGTGTCCTGCTATTTACCTATAGCAAGAGTTTTCATACCATTCGCTAAACGAAAAAGAGGATTCATACCTTTCGATACATGACTGACGAGGCAGATTTTTTTCCTGCAGTAGGTTGCCATTTTTTCTGGAAGACTATTTGCCATCGAAGGCTATAGAACGCGGTCTGTCCTGCTATTTATCCATAGCTGTGGGGAGAAGAAGAGGATTCTCCCTTTCTCAAGACTATTAGTACGTAAGTGAATGTAATGGATTTGACTGGAATTCGAACTCGGCTCTCAGATTCTTCTATCCGAGCCACTCTCGATTACACCACCGTTCTTAAATTCATGATGTCGAGTTACCAAATAGGTTAGCTCATTACAGCAGGAAAGCTGCATTAGACAGATGGGAAAGTAACTGATAGTGGAGGTTATATTTAGGAAACTTACGTTATGTTTAATGCAAAGCTGCATTTCAGGGTCACTAGTGTGTTTATTATTATAGATATTTTTACAGACATATCATTTCGGTACCACAAGAACAAAAATA